TGATAAAAAGCCTTATGCTTATTCATTTTAAAGTTTCTTTATATTTTTATAAGAAAGAATAGTTATATGCTTTACCAAAGGAAAAAATTTCATTATGTTACAGAGAACCTTGTCAGAGGTTGAAAGAGATCTGGAAAACTCAGAACCTTCATCTAAGTTCCAAACAAAAGGGAAAAGGATGGTTATTGAGGAAGTAGAAAACTCAGAAGAAGAAGAAGAAGAAGAAGAAGGGGAAAGGGAAACAGGAAACCAGCATGAAGATGACGATGGAGATAAGAGTAAAAGCCCTTTTCTGTCTTGGTTATACAAAAACCTACCTGTTCTTATAACAAGGTGGTTCAGTTATGTCTATTGCTATAAAAGTTCTTAGTCTACTAAACTTTTTCTAGCTTTCTACAGCAAGCTTAGCTGATCTTTTCTGACTACAGTTTAATGCAATCTCCAAAACTCATTTTTCTTCTTGACTCAGTTTAGTTCTTGGCACTTTTCATCTAAGTGCTTGTGTCTAGCCAGTTTCAAGTTAACCTTCAATCTGCCCCTACCTCCTGAGTACAAGGACTAGGGTTTCTCATCTACACTACCATGCTTGGCCTTTAGTTCAGGCTGGCCTCAAACTGGCTATGTAGCAGAGAATGCCCTTGAACTCCTGCCCTCCTGCCCCTACTTCCAGATGCAGGGATTACAGATATGTACGATCTTGCCTGGCTCTTACTCCATTCTTATTTGCAAATGTATTTCCGTGTCTATAGTTTACTATTAACAATGTGTTTCATACAGAATTTTTTTTAAATTTTGTTGATCATTTTGGTATAAAATGTGAAGATTAGATATAGGTTCTTTTTTTTCCATACAGATGTCTAAATGTTCCAAACCATTTATTGAAAATTATCCTTACTCATTTGAATTGTCTTTGCTCCGTGTAACAAAATGTCAGCTGGGCATTTTTGTGTGGCCAGTCGAATGTAATCTTGAGTGTCATTCTGTTGCCCTGCCTTGGGTGTTTGTTCTTTCATCAGTACCACACCATCTTAATACAGCTTCATAGGCAGCTCTTAAAGTCAGGTTTGCAGTTCTTTCAGATTTATTCTTCTCATACAATTGTTTGGCTATAGCATTCCCTAACCTTTATATATAGTTTGTTAGGTTTTTCTTTTTCCTTTTTTTGTGGTTTTTACTTTGTCGTTGTTTTGGGACAAGCTCTCATTCTGTAGCCCAGGCTGGCCTGAATTCATGGCAATCCTCCTTCCTCAGCCTCCTGAGTGCTGGGATTAAAGACATGAGCCACCACACCCAGCATTGCTCACATTTCTCTGTCCATGACCTTGAACTCATAATTTTCATGCCCCCATCTCCTAACTGCTGGGACTGCAGGTGTGCATCATCATGTCCAGGATTCTCTCCATTGAGTGTATCTTTATTGTACTTTCATTTCTGAAGGAAGTTTTTGCTGGCTCTGGAATTCTTGATGCACAAGGGTTTGACAGTGGGAAAAACAGAGTAGAGTGTGTTCATCTTAACTGGAACTTCCCTTACCATTGCTATCTGTGTGGTAGGAGTGAATGGACAGTTGAAGAACTGTAGATATGATTTACAGATTTTATTGGTCTCCAAGGAAGCTGTAATTATAATTTTTGCTTGCTTTTCATGATAGGGCCTCCCCACAGAGCATAGCCATGAATACTAGGATCACAGGTGTGGACTTCCATGCTTGCCTGGCTTCCTGTACGTACAGATTAGTCAATAGAAACTTAGAGTGGTTAAGTTACTTGTCACATTTGTACAGATTATAAGTCAAATGGTTAAAAAATGGTCCTAGGTCTGTGTGATAAGTGTGTGTGTGTGTGTGTGTGTATGTGTATGTGTGTGTGTGTGTGTGTTTGTATATATGCCTGGGTGGAGGAGAGAGGTTGATGCTATACTTTCCTTAGTTGTTCTCTACCTGACTTTTTTTTTAGGTAGTTTTTCTCACTGAACTTGTAGCTTGCTGTTTCAGCTAGACTGGCTGGCCAGCAAGCACCAGGGATCCTCCTGTCTCTGCCTCCCCTGTGCTGGGATCGCAAGTACACACCACTGCACCCAACTTCCAACTTTTTCACATGGGTTCTGGGGGATCAAACTCAGATTCTCATGTTTACATGGCAAAGAGAGGTGAACAAGCAGAAAAGGAACAATCTTATTTTTTATGGTATGCATGTATGTGTGTATGTATGGTGTGTCTATGTGTATGTATGTGTGTATGTGTATGGTGTGTGTATGTGGGGGGGATGTGTGTGTATATGTATATGTATGGTGTGTATGTGTGTATTTGTGTATGTCATGTATGTGGATGATGTATGTGTGTGTGTATGTCTATGGTGTGTATGTATGTGTGCATGTGTGTATCTATGTGTGTGTTTGTGTGCATGTGGTATGTGTGTATAAATGATGTCTGTAAATATGTGTACGTGATGTGTGTATATGTGATGTGTGTCTATTGTATGTGTGTATGTATGTGAATGCATGTGTATGTGGTATATAGGATGTATATGTATGTGTGTGGTAAGTGTGTGTTTAAGGATCAAAACCATGACTTCATGTATGCTAGGCAAGTACTGTACCATTGAGCTTTACACTATTGTGATTAAAAATATGAATCAGGCTGGTTGTGGTATAATATGATTAAGCAGATCTCCTTTTCAAGAGAACCATTTCTGATGCCATCATTTGGTGCCATGATTATCTGTAGATAAGTGGATATATAAAATATATAAGATTCAGAAAAAAGTATCTTGGCAGAAAAAAATATAAATGTTAAGATCACTGAGTTTACTTTCATCAGGAATGAACACCAAAATGAAATGGATAAATGCTGGAACTCCTAGGTCACCTTTTCATCCTAAGATGACCTGAAACTGAGCTAGCTTATACGCCCCTCTACCAGGGGACATTGCTGGTGGCATATGAAAAGAGGTCCCTGAGCCTGGGACGTGAATGAAGAAATCCCAGGTACTTTTACAAAAATAATACTGCGATCTAGAAGGGTGCCATCATGTTAGAATCTTTGCATGTTATTCCACATCCCATGGCAGTCTTTAGAAAGAATTCTTAGTCATTATGGGGTGTGTTCCAGGGAGTTTTGAGAACCATGAAAAAATGTAGCAATTAATGTTTTATAACCTTGGCTGCTAGTGCTGCTCTTTTACAAACTCCACTTAAAGTGGTTAGGCTCAATTCTCTTATTTTTAAATATATTCTTTGAATATTTCATAAATGTATACAATGTGTCTTGATCATATCTATACCTGAATCCCTCACTCCAACTCCCCCCATGATACCCATCACATCTCTCCTCCAAGTCTGTGTCCTTCTTTCATGTTTATTTTTTTTATTTATTCCACTGAGTTCAGTTAGTGCTTCCCATATATACATAGGTGTGGGATCATCCAGTGGGGCATGGAGAGCCTACCAGTGGTAACACTGCTAAAGAAAAGTAACTCTCCCTCCCTTAGTAGCCATCAGAAGCCAGTAGTTCCTCAGGGAGAGGCAGAGCCTCAGGAACCTCTCCCTAATCCATGCTGGAATTTATGTGTATGAGTGTATTGCTTTCATATATGCAAGTTACACCCATGTCATGCAATGCCTGAGGTCAGAAGAGGGTGTTGGATCCCCTGGAACTGGAGTTACAGGTAGTTGTTAGCCACCCATGCTGGGAATTGTACCTGGGTCTTCTGCAAGAGCAGCCAGTGCTCTCCAACCCCCCACGCTGTAATTTTTAAGTGGCTTGACCTTGTACAGGTCTTGGGTAGGTTACCACAGCTGCTATGAGTTCATTTGTGCAACACCCAGAGGACAGCATTTCACAGCACCTGGCTCTTACATTTCTGCTCTTGGTTGTGTGTGTGTGTGTGTGTGTGTGTGTGTGTGTGTGTGTGTAGACATGCAGATGCCCTGTCTATGGCTGAGCACTCTCACAGTTGCTTATTCTCAGCAGTTTTGAACAGTAATACATCTCTGCTTTAAGAAGCTTCTCTGACCAAGGTGGGGAACAGCACCAATCTATGTTTATAAACATAAATATTTAGAAGGCAGTTTGGCAATATGACCATTTAGGAAAACATCAAGGGTTTTCTCCTAGGGCCTATGACTTCCCTAGCCATGGGTTTTGACCATGTTTCCAGTACCATGTTTGAATTCCCTTATGTAGAGCAGGCCTCAAATCCAATTAAGAATTGGTACTCCTGGGGGCTGGAGAGATGATGGCTCAGCAGTTAAGAACACTGGTTGTTCTTGCAGAAGACCCAGGTTCAAATCCCAGCACCCACATGGCAGCTAACAACTGTCCATAACTCCAGTTCCAGGGGATCCAATGGCTTCTTCTGTCCTCTGCAGGCATTCCACGACACAGGTGCACTTACCTACATGCAGGCAATACACTCATACACATAAAAATAATAAATAAAATATTTTTAAAAAGAGAATTAGTATTCCCATAAACACTGTTGCCACTATTGTACTAGTGGGCACATCTTGACTGCCAGATTGGTATTATAGCATACAGGATCTAGCACAGAATAAGACAATTGATATCTTTTCTCTGCCAGCAGCCTGCATAACACCCTCCAGAACTATGAAAAATAGCCAGCAAGGAGGGTTTAGGGTTTCCTGGCTACTTCAAGATTGAATTCTTTGTGTCCTACAACCAAAGTGTAGGGCAACCAAAGTGTGTGGTATCTTTGGCAATAGGGTTTTTGTCCCCGACCGCTTTCCGTCTCGCCAGCAAGAACGACGCGGGAGGACAAGTCAGGATCCTTCTGCAGCAGTTTATTTGAAGACTGAAGACCAAAGACGCCGAGAAGTGGGAGAGCTGTTGCTTATATATGCCCCAAAGGTCCCATTTATGACGTATAAGAAGCGGATTGGTTGCTGGAGA